TATATATATATATACATATACATGCATGTATATATATATGTATATATACATACATATACATGCATGTATATATATATATGTATATATACATACATATACATGCATGTATATATATATATATGTATATATATATATATACACAAAGTGAATAGACAAAAGGGTTCATAACTTCTAGGGTAGACAGTACTCGCCTAAATGTGAAAAAAGGTTCTAGTAAGCATGGGTCGAAAAATTAACAGTTTCAAAGTTATAAATGATTTTTTGTTTCATCAGGTTGTAGACGACATGTGACACAAATACACATGAATATAAATGTAAATACGTATATGTATTTTGAGATATATCTGTTAGAAATGGAACGCAATGTCTGGCCAATCCACTGAAAATGACAGTAATTTTGACAGTGATCTTTTTTTCTTTTTCTGATAAATGACGTAAAAAAGGAGGAACATGACATAGCATCTCTCTCCGTGAAGGTGAAACATTTTCACAATTACCACGCTAAAAAGGAAAAGAAAAACACTAGTATCATTAGTTTTATTCATCAGTTTTGAACGAAAGATTTAACTGTCGAAAAGTTTGTTGGGAAAGGTTTTCATTGCTTTGTGACGAAAACGAAATCAAATGGTTTCCTGATTTTCATGATTCTCCGAACACGTGCGAGAATTGAGGGAAAACTTTCTGGTACAGATGTAATGGCAAATAACAGAAACATTGTTCAAATGACCGTGTCGTTCGTTAAGATCCGACGACAACTGAGAAGAAGTTGCCAGTTACGTTGGATCACTCTGCAGATGAAGTTGACGAAAACTTCTGTTCCTAGCGACAAGCATCGTGCCATTTCGTTTCACCTGTTAAAAGTAAGACAGAGGCCAACAGTATTTTAATTCGCGTGGCGTTGATTCGTGCTCGTTAAAGTCGCTCGCGGAAATTGCGACGACGAAAAACTCGGCAGACAGTCGGGTCGTCCTTTTTAACGAGATTCTTCCGCCCCTCCTTTTCTCCTTTCATCCCCTTCCTCGCGAGAGCATCGTAGCGCGCGAGAAATTCGCTGATAAAAAAAAAAAAAAAAAAAA